TCAAACAATTTTGATTAAATAGGAGAAGAATTTTTTGGTTTGGATTGGATTAAATGAAGTTTGAGAATCACCTCTTTCAACTGCTGTTCAAAAAAAAAAAAATAATAATTTGTTTCTTCCACAGTATTGATTTGATTCTTCATAAAATAAATTTGTTAGCAGGTCTTCCTATAGTGAATTTGTTAGTCACATGGCAGTAAATTCTTTATAAAAAAAATGAAATGAAATGGGGTTCTGCACCAACCATGCCAATAAAGAAGGGTTTATCTCTTGAAATATTTTGCCTGGACAGTGGCACTACGGCCTACCACTGACAAGGGGGAACCCTGCTGGAAAGTCGTGGGGAACTTTTTCGGCCTACACTAAGATTAGACCCAGAATCTCCTGGTTAGTGATCCAGCATCTAAATCACTGAGCCACGGTGGCTCCTGAATTCTTCATAAAGAAACAGAATGTATTTAGAGTGGAATTAACCGTATAATATGTCAGTGACATGAAGTCTATGGAAGTACCATGTAATGTTATAAGATTACTGACTTAATTTGTTTTGTAAGGAGATGATTATCAGGTGTACATTGTATGGTGAAGTGATGAATCACAAGTTAAACTATATTGTAATAATACCACCACCAGGTTGATTCATCTAAACGTTTGTTATATTGATCTTCTCACATCAATATCAGACCAGTAGACTTACAATAATCATCTTCTACAATACTAACTTTATCTCTTATTGTACTACAATTCTTTATGGTTCCATCAGTTGGTTAGTCAAATTGTTTTCTGATTAATTTATTTCTATCACGTTTTACTTCATTGAGACAGATTTGAATCAAATCGGATTGATTTTGATGATAGATATTTGACACACGCACATAACAACATTGGTTTATGAAAGGATTCTTTCTCTCCATTTTGTTTATGTAAATCCCTTCCAGACAATTGAAATGGAATGAAATGGAGTTTAAAGTCCTACTGTTCTGCTCCGACCTGGGCTAATGAAGACGGGCATACACCATACAATATGCTTTGAGGGAAATTTTGCCTGGACAGCGGCACTACAACCTACACGTACTCTTATATCAAATTCAAACTGTCAAGGGATCTTTTACGTGCACGCCAATGTGTACACAGGACCTCATTTTTTCGACCCATCCAAATGACTAAAACAGCTGTCCTTGTCAGGCCCTACATCCTGCATCACTGAAATGGGGGAACCACGTCGGAAAATCCAGACAATTGATTTTCAGGGTGTGGAAGTTCAAACCCACTTCCTTCTTAAACGTTTATAAAAAATCAATGCCCCTGCATGCATTGGCATAACATATTTTTCAAAGACTCCAACCTGCATTTGTATGTTCAGGTCCAACAATGCCAATAAGGGTTTTTTAAGGGGTGTTACAGTAACTGAGAAATTATCAGGGGTTCATGGCAAGGACCCATAAAAAATAGAATTCATTGTTTCTAAAAATTACCTTATTTAATATTATTGAAGGCTATTGTTTATTGTTACTGCATGGCAGATTTCACCCGAAACAAAATAATTGCATAGCGAATGTGTGGACACAAAATGACCGTTTTCCTGGTGTTCAATGCAGAAATATGAAATGAATTCGGGTTTAATGCCCTTGTGTTCTGCACCTACCAGATTAACAAAGAAGGGCATCTGCCATGCTGTGTGCTTTGCGGAAAATTTACCCAACAGCAGCACTACAACTTACTCTTTTTTCACATTCCAACTGTCAAGGGTTCTTTTACATGCATGCCAACGTGTACACAGGGGTTCAGTTTATCGTCGGATCCAAATGACTATACTCTGTTCTGTGCCAGAGCCTCTGTCTGCACCACCCACAGAAATATGTTATGTTAAGAACCTGTGATTACAAATCAAGTGTATAAAAGTATTTTCTATCGAGCATGTGGTGGCCAATTCAGCTATTTCAATTATTTAATTAGCCAAAAGGGAATATCCTAAGCCTTACTAAGTCAAATATATAATTTTTAGTGTACACCATGCTGACAAGGTTTCGAATCCCCGGTTGTACGTGACATGGAGTAGGGTCGCCTGTCCAACCTCGTGGGTTTTCTCCGGGTCCTCCGGTTTCCTCCCACTGCTAAAGACCCCTATTTGCAAGCGAATTATTGAAATAAAATTAAGCCATATGTTAGTCCCGAAATGACCTAGTTGTGTCAAGTGGACGTTAAACCCCATTTCTCTCTCTCTCTCTCCCATGCTGACAGAGTGGTATACACATGTTAATTCACAATACCATACCATGAATAAAAAACATGAACTATGATTTTTTTTTTTGCAAAGTTTTCATGTGTTATCAAAAATGACCGACAGTGAAAATTTTGAAGTGGAAGCCCTGGTATAAAGATGTCTGATATTGCTTGTGCTATGTATTCCAGATCATTTTAATTTAACTATCTAAGGGTTAAAATTGAATATTTATTACCTTGTTATACTTATATGTATAATTAATTATGATATCGTATGCGCTATTGTAAACCATTTTAATTTTACTACTTCGCTGTATGTACTAAATACAACAAGATCCGCCCACCCCCCACCCGGTTAAAAACAAACTAAATATTTAATAGTATATCTAAACCATTTTAATTTAACAACTTCACTGTTAAGACTAAATGTTTATTATCTGAGTACTGTATAATTTAAACCATTTTAATTTAACTACCTCACTGTTAAAACTAAATGTTTATTATCTGGGTACTGTATAATTTAAACTATTTTAATTTAACTACCTCACGGTTAAAACTAAATATTTATTATCTTGTTAAACTGTATCATTGAAATATTTGGTACAAGTTAAAGACTTCACATGTTAATACTACTTGATGTACACATGTATAACATTCTTGGCTAGTGAAACCTGTACAACATATTTCCCAGTAAATGTTGTTGGATGACTCAAGTCTTGTCTCTATAACACAGTTTGTAGAAACTAGTCGAGGTGTTTAACCTGTTTAAAAACCTAACAAATGTCTACTATATTTGACAGTCAGGGCCTGGTCAGGTTGTTTAAGATTTTCCACCTTGCACTGGCTTGCAGATTCTCACTGACACCCAGTCACAGTGACCTTCGTTAACAAACTCAAAATGCATACAGCAATTAATACTTGTTCATCCAGTTATTTAAACAAGAGATTTTGTCATTGTTTATTTTGTTGTGGTTTGGGCTCTGGTTAACCATGGCTATATTATATTTAGACTCTGTTACTCTGTGCAGTATGTCCAGATGGTTTATAATTATTTCTCCTTCCTCAGCTGATGGTGCGACCTATGAACCTTGACCTCAGCTGTAAGAGGTCACCTGTTTTATTGACAGGAAGCTTGGTTGAATGATAAGATGATGAAGGCAGTAGCTGGCAACTCATTAGTCGTTGATTACACAGTCTTGACAACCAATAGAGGCAACTGATTAGTTTAACATTGTCCTATTTATAGTATCAGTATGGTACCAGTACCCACATTGTCTATGGATTATGGTTAATGCCAGACATCACATGACACCTATTGAAAGATAAAACTATACATTTCATCCAAGCCAAACATTTACACTGTCTGCATGATAAAAGAGACATGGCTACTGAAATGAATTATCCGTATTTTAACTGATATTTGGTAAATTATATAATAGAGTCTATAGAATGTCAGGAATGCTGTGCTTTGAATTATTAAGTAACCTGAAAGCCTACCTTAGTTAGAGACTATTCATGATGCCATTTACAATAAGAATAGCAAATCACGCTGCTTTGTAACATGCAGTCATTTAACATATTACTAAGATTAAAATGAATGGAAAAATAGATATTATTTTATCAGCAATTCCCTTGACAGTCACTTGTGAACTCAATTGTAATTTTGCTGTATAGACGTCTGATAATTTGATCCATATGTATGATTGGTTAAAATTCTATGCTTCATTGATCAGTATAGTTTAAAGTAAGCATACTGTCCAACCTCGTGGGTTTTCTCTGAGTCCTCCAGTTTCCTCTCAATGCGAATCATTGAAATAAAATTGAACCATATTTTAGTCCCGAAATGACCTGGTTTGTGTCGAGTGGACGTTAAACCCCATTTCTTTCTCTCTGTAGTGAGTATATGTTGCAATGACTGTTACATATACCTTACATGTAACTTGATGAATAGGGAAAATGAACCTTTTCTGCACTGACAGGGCTAATGAAGACGAACATACACAATACAGTGTGCTAAAGCGGGCAATTTTGTCTGGAACGCAGTTCTACAGCCTACTCTTATTACAAATTCATAATTTCACTTTCCTTGTATGAAATGAAATGAAACATCCTACCCTTCTGCTCCGACTGGGCTAATGAAGACGGGCATATGCCATACAGTGTTTTATGAGGGAAATTTTTGCCCGCACAACGGCGCTAAGGTCTACTCTTATATTGAATTCGAACTGCCAGGGGATCTTTTATGTGCATGCCAATGTGTACACGGGACCTCAGTTTTTCGTCACATTCGAAATATGTGAATGTGTGTATAGTATGTACATGTAGTGTTGTGGTGTCAGTAGAACTGATGATATATCATAACTGCACTAATTTCAATCATCTTAGGGCAGGACCATTTACCATGACCCGTTTTGCCCTTGTGTTTAAATGGTATTTTCTTCATTAATTCATTCTTCAGTCATTCATCCATTTATTCATTGATATCATATTAGGGCAGGACCATGACCCATTTTGCCCCTGTGTTTTAATTATAAGTTCTTTATTAATTCATTTTTCAGTCATTCATCCAATTATTCATTGATATCATATTAAGCCATCCTCTAATGCATGTTCATGTAGCCTATTTATATTGGTTCTGTGACAGCTATTGGGAGATTACGACATGATGGATATGTAATTTGTGATTAATTAATCTGCTAGCTGTCTATTACTGGTGTTTATGCTAATTATCTAATACATGTAGATTTAATTAATAAAGTTAAATTCTTTAATTTCAGGGTCGCCACACTAAAACTGGTCAGTTGGCTGCCATTAAGGTTATGAATGTAACTGAGGTGAGTGTTTAAGCCAAGTCATTAAAAAATTATTATGTTAAAGGCTCAATACCACTCTTGTTGTAACTGAATAATATGTCCCAATCTTTATTCTGGTCAACAAATTGTACTATTTTACAATATTCCAATTAATTGATGATACAAATTTGATCTTAACACACCTAATTTAAAAAATTAGAAAAATTCAACTAAATGATTTAAAAAGCCTGACGTAAAGCTTTTCAAATGTGACTTGGATTTAAAAATATTTTTGAAACCTCTGGACAAGTAAAATAGGATTTAATGGATAATTTACACAACAGGTAGGACACTAACACATCTAGTACTTAGAATAAAGCTATTTTTTATTTTCTGGAGCTGTCAAGCCAGCAAGAGTGTTATTGTCCCTTTAAGTGCCATTCTGCACACAGAGATCCATCTACTTCATACTTCGAGAATAAATCTCTGCCCTGAATCGGTATCATATCCAACAATTAGTATACTGTTGTATCGAGGTCCTACCTCAGGTTCACATCTGTGATACACCAAAATACTAATTACCCGTAAACCTTTTCAATTTCATTAAATGATCAAGCAGAAATGGATCTGTTCAGAATTTTAGTTCCATTTTGTGCCAAAAAGGTCAACTGACAGCAGCATATCAAGATTGTTTCAATGTATCTGCAGAAATTATATTTTATATTGAAAGATACCTGAATCTAAAAACATAAAATAAATAGTGCAACTCAGTCTTTCGCTTTTACTCATTTCAAGGAGACTTCATTCAACAAAAATAATTTTTGTTGACATGAGCCCATGAATCAGGAAGGGTTATAAAAGGAATTGCATTTTACAAACAATCTGAATAATGATATTAATATCATCTATTTTTCAGGAGGAAGAAGAAGAAATAAAATTGGAAATAAATGTGCTCAAAAAGGTAAAAAAATAAAATAATAATAACAAAAAGATCCCAAAATTAATAAAAGATATAAAATAATAATTAATAATAATAATAATCATTTTCTATAGCGCTGAACATTCAGTCAGTCTGACTGCTCTGTGGCGCTTTAAATTAAAAAAAAAAGATATCGAATAATGAAAAAAAATTCTGAAAACACACAAACACAAAAAAAAAATCAAACATTTATGAAACCTAAAATTTAAAGTGGTGAAATGCTATTGACTGTAACTTCAAATGGTGTATAATTAACCTTTTGTATTTTCATCCCTCGAAAAGCAATGTTTTATCTTATTATTTCAAGGTTGAAAAACCTCTTATCAAAAATCCACTAGGAAACAAAAACCCTTCAGAGCTTTCAATACTGTCATTATTAATAGAAACACGAGTTTGAGTACATACGGGTTCTGTCCAGAAACAAAAAGTTAACCCTCGTAAAATATTCCCTGGGGGGATACATGGGGCCCCATGTGGTATTAATTTGATAATAATTCATATGATTTGTATCAATTACTACACTTGACACTTGCTTCATATTCAGCATTGTTCTTTCTTTTGTTCCGATGCAAAAAGATAGCAGAATTTTAAAACAGCCAGAAAAAAATCAATGATTTATTTCAACAAATGCACCAGGTTTTTTTTTATTTCTTTCTTTGTACATTGCACATATTTAGAACAGAAAAAGTGATAACCTGAATTAACTTGAATGTTGATTAACAGGTTTTAAGAATGTGTCTTTTTAGTTGAAATTTTTTTTTCATTTACTTCAGGGTGAAATAGTTTTACAAAATAATGTTGTTTTTTTTTTAAAAAAAAAATAGAAAGACAAAACCAGTTGTTAAAAAAGAAAAGACAAAATTTACATTTTTTAAAAAAAACAAAATTTGGAAAGCTGAAAGGTTTACATTATGTAATTTTTCACCGAGTCATTTTGCGATGAAAATATGTAATAAATAATGGTTTTCAATAAAAAAAAAAGCTAAAAACATTTTTGGGGATATACCTGTATGCATTGAGATGTTTTTGCTTGAGGATGATATAGTTTTTCAAAATAGAAAATAATGTGGTTTTTGTTTTCAAATCTATAAGAAGACAAAATCACTTGTTGACACCCACACCCAAAAAAAATCACAGTTGGAAAGTTGAAAGGTTACATGTAATAAAATGCAACTTTTCACTACATTTGTAGGTCGGAGGGGTTGGATGGCCGAATGGTTAGCATGTGCACGCTGTATCATAAAGCCTGTCATTGAGTCAACTGGCGTGGTTTCGAATCCCCGGTTGTACATGACAAGGAGTAAGGTTGCCTGTCCAACCTCGTAGGTTTTCTCCAGGTCCTCAGGTTTCCTCCCACTGCTAAAGACCCCTACACGCAAGCGAATTTTTGACATAAAATTAAACCATATGTTAGTCCCGAAATGACCTAGTTTGTGTCGAGTGCTCTCTCTCTCTCTCTCTCTCACCCTCTCTCTCTCTCTCATTTGTAAGTCAATTTGTACTGAAAATATGTAATACTAGGGTTCCAGCAAAAAAACAAAAAAAAAAAAAAGAATTTGTGACATGCCTGTGTGAGTTACTTAATTAGATATGAAATATAGAGCTATTAAAAACAATTTGTGAATACATTTTGGGTATAACTACTTGATCTATTTGGGTTGCTTACATAGGAGTAGTGAAGTAGATAAAAATAATTGTTATAAGTGACAGTAAATATAAGTAGGTGTTAAGTAGGTACTGACTAGACGATAAAGACTACCTGATATCATTATTGAATTATATATTAGATAATAAAGACTACAGTAGTAGACCTGTCAGGTTGAACTGTTGTATAGTTAAAGGGATTGTGTAAGTGACACCTACTGTTTAACATGTATAAGGCTGATAATAACATGACTCACTTTCTACCAGAGTTAAACAGGTATTTAAGTAGGATTTGTAAAAATGTAGAAATCATCCGCATCAGAAAACAACAACCAAGGTCTTAACATCACTGTCCTAAAAATATTCACTTAAAATAAATTATAAAAATATGGCCAAAGCATTATGTTTCTACAAATATCCATTATGGTTATCAAGTCAAATGATATTATAGATAATGGTATTAAATAATGGATAAATTTTAAAATAGAATTTTACCAAGATGAATAATATTATAGATACATGTAAATGTATTAAATAGTGTTTTCACCAAGATAAATAATATTATAGATACATGTAAATGTATTAAATAATAGATAAATTATAAAATAATATTTTCACTGAATCAAATAGTATTATAGATAACTAGAAGAATGCCCGGCTTCGCTCGGGGGTCATAACCCCGAAACCGGAAGTGGTAGACTAACGCCACCTGGCCTATGTTACTCCCCGGTCCGAGCTACCCCTATACCCCAAATTTCAGACTCGGGGCAGACCTAGTGTAGCCGCCAACCCCGAACAGACAGACAAACGACAGTCACAAATACTAGTATAGATTTATGTTAAATAATAGATAAATTGTTAAACAATGTTTTCGTGAAGTTAAGTAGTGTTATAGGTAATTTATGTAAACATTATTTCCACAATGTCAAATAGTATTATAGATAATTGATTGTTTTAATTTAAAAAATATTTTCATTAAGTTAAAAATGACAATTATATTAAAAAATAGATAAATTGTTTAAGAGTATTTTGATATTTAATAACTTGTTCCAGATATTATGTGAACTTATGTATAAAACATCAAATGAATATTACTTTTTTGGGGGACAAATATTATATTTTTGGTACATTTTTTGTGTGACACATCCTTGTTATTTTTGTGATGAAGAGTTAACATAATGTCATCTATAAAAAAAAACCATGTTCTCCAATATTAAAGACCACTAATTAAGTTATATTACTTCCTGTGTATATCTGTCCAAGCAACTTTTATTTATAATGTTAATTAAAGGCCCAACTAGTCAGATTGTTCATATATGTTTCAGCGGGGTTTGGTGACTGAATGGTTAACACATTGAATTAGAAATTGGTATCATTGAGTCAAGTGATGTGTTTTCGATACCCCACTTGTACGTGTCAAGGAGTTGGGGCACGTGTCCTACCCCGTGTTTTTTTTTTCATATCCTCTGGTTTCCTCCTACTGCTACATATAAAGATCCCTACGCATAAGCGAATTATTGAAATACAAAAATTGAACCATACGTTAGTCCTGAAATGACAAAGACGGTGTCGAGTCAGCGTTATGAATTTTAGGCTAGCCTTGACCATCATTACTAAAGTCGGTACAATAAAAAAACAAGGTCTCAATTATCCATTTTTACGTTTGATTATTTTTCAAAAAATGTATTCCCATCCACTAAATATCGCAGGCTAGCAGTGGCATTGAGTGTTGATTATGGTCTGGATAAATTAATTAATGTCTTATTTATAATTAGCCCTTGCATAATGTATATTTAAAGAATTGGCTGACTTGAATGAAAAAGATAGCACAATTTTTATTACGGTATTTGCCTAATTACACTAAAAGTTGGTGGTTTGAAATCAGTAGAAACAAAGCTTAATATGACCATAACATTGAATTGATTTAAATAATGTTTGGACCAAAATGTTTTTTAATAAAAAAAACTTTTTTTGATTTTGTATAGCCTTTTAAACTGTAGTTTACCTCTAATCTGTCTTGTTGAGGCTTTAATAATTGTACTATTGATATTTCTTAGAAAGATTTTGATAATATAATGTAGATTACTAAAGTTATTTATTCTTGAATGATATTAAATTTAAGATCAAATCTATGTCAATGTTGGTCCTTCTAGAATTCTGTCTATTAAGGAATTTATGTAATTTATGACTCATTTGGATGTTAACCGAGCCGGTTTTTAGTAGAATATTGAGTTAAGTACCAAACTACGTCGTAAGATAATATAAGTCACTGTTAGACTACTGTAAGTAATAAATAAGTAATATCCTATGTGTAATATGGGAAATAGGATGTATACTATAGTCTACATATGGACTCACGATTGTTTGTTTACAAGGCTGAAACTCACGACTTACAAAAACCCCATTCACTCACCACAAAATACAAAATTCAGGTTGACCAAACATTGAAATAAACTTAAAAAATGTGGATTGAGTTAGCTACAAACTGTTTTCTAATGAACTAAGAAGTGGGCATTGTTTTCTTTCCACAATCAACATTTGAGGTATTTTGTAACTCCCGTACATTTTCTTCTATTGTTAAAATGTTTCATAGTTGACAATATGAAGCAAAGAGTCGAACCACTCCTCAATAACTGTCAGTGTACTATTAGATTTGAAGGAACTGAATATTTTAACCTATTTTAAATGCATAGTTTAACCATCCTGATACGTGTGAACCTTAACTAGAAAGTCAGTACAGGATGGATTACAAATTGTAGTTTAGCTCTTGTTCTGAAACTACAAATTAAAAAATTTTATTTATCAGACATTGGGGTGGTTAGATGGCCGAATGGTTAGCACGTGCACATTGTATCATAAGGCCTGTCATTGAGCCAACTGGCGTGGTTTCGAATCCCCGGTTGTACGTTACAAGGAGTAAGGTCGCCTGTCCAACCTCATGGGTTTCCTCCGGTTTCCTCCCACTGCTAAAGACCCCATATGTTAGTCCCAAAATGACCTAGTTTGTGTTTAGTGGATGTTAAATAAAATTTAATGTGTAATAAAATTTCTTATAATTTGTGTTTATAATCACATAAATTATTTATAATCACTACCATGCAGGATGGACGGTCTGATAAGGACAGTTGTCTAGTCCTTTGGATGGAACAAAAAAATGAAGCCCTGTGTACACATTGGCGTGCACGTAAAAGATCCCTTAACAGTTGGAATTCGATATAAGAGTAAAACGTAGTGCTGCTGTCCGGGCAAAATTTCCCTCACAGCAAACTGTATGGCGTATGCCCGTCTTCATTAGTCCAGTTCGGAGCAGAACAGTAGGATGTTAAACCCCATTTCATTTCATTTCATTTATAACCACTACACATTACCCATCTACCATGTGTAATACATTTTCTTTCAAATTGTGTACCATATCTACAAAAAACAAAAATGTTTTGTTGACTCTTTCAACTAAGACAGATTTTTATTTTTTTTCCTTGGCTCATTTTTTTACGATTTCCCAAATTTTTTTCTGTGGGAAATTGTATACACACATACAAAAAAATGGTGAACTCTATATATTTCAAGCTAGATTTTTTTCTCAGCTCAGGTACCAATCTTTTGGTTGTAGGTTTTAAGAGAAATTTTAAAAGTACCGGAATTGTAAATATCGGTAGTATGTATGTTTGATGAAAAATGTCTCATGTGTAGTCCACAGTTTCACAATATAGTGTTACATTTAGTACCTTGGCTGTTTTAGCCATTTCTTTAGGGAGGGGGGGTTGTATCATAAGGTCTGTCATTAAGTCAACTGGCGTGGTTTCAATTCCCTGGTTGTATGTGACAGGGAGTAGGGTTGCCTGTCCAATCTCATGGGTTTTCTCCGGGTCCTCTGGTTTCCTCCCACTGCTAAAGACCCCTACGCGGGAGAAAATTATTGAAATAAAATGGAACCATATGTTAGTCCTGAAATGACCTGGTTTGTGTCGCCTCTCTCTCTCTCTCTCTCTGGTTAGCCATTTTGTTACAAATTAATGCATCTACACACAGGCAGTTGTACCTATTGTCTCTGTATATAGGAACTGAGGTGGCTCAGTGAGTTTATCGTTGGCTCGCTAAGCTGAAGGTCCCAGTGTTCAAAAAAGTTCAGTGAGATTTTCAGGTGTGGTTCCCCTTGTCAGTGATGCAGGACAGAGGGACAACGTATAGTGTACGTAAAAGAACCCTAGGTAGATGTAATTTGATATAAGAGTAGGCGGTAATTCCGCTGTGTGGGCAAAATTTTCCTCATGGCACACTGTATGGCATATGACTGCCTTTATTAGCCCAGTATAGGAGCAGAACAGTAGGATGTTAAACCCTCAGATATTTCCCCTCCAGTGGGTACTAAGTCATAAATATACAAGACTACTAACTAATGTCCATTATCCCAACCTTATTTCATGTTTGCTTTATTCTGATATTCCACTAACCGTACCATTGTCTACTGTAGCATCTAAAGGTGGATGTTTTACAATCAGCTCCTAAAATAAATATACTAAATTCCGACTTAATAATAATAATGTGTCTAAATTTATATTCACGCAACAATACTAATTAAAGTTTCTATTGCACTAGACAAATTTTTCAATACTGATCTTAAAAAACAGTTGTGAAAAACAAGAGTCTTTATCTGTTGTATTAACACATGCAGTGATGATGATATTCGAATATGGTAATACATGCACAACTTCAGTATATACATGTAGCAAGTTCACCTCAAAATGGCAGAACATGAGGATCTGGGAAACAGCTAAATTACCCAAAAGAAATTTTAAAGCAATATCCATTATAATCCTTGTAAGACATACAGAAATAGATTTCACTAAAAATAAACACAAGTGTGTTTATTTTTAATATCCATTATGTTCTTTTGTTATATCTTACGGCTAGCTCCCCAATTCATTCAATTAATTTGATATGTACGTTTGTGATTTCTGCATATTGTGTCTCGTCTTACTATTAGACATTTTAAAATAGTCTTTCCCCACTGTAAGTCATTGTCAAAATATCAATCATATGTAAGCCTGTGTAGTTGTAAAGATGTATATGAAAAAAAAACTTGCTAATGGCAAAAATCATTGAATTATCTCCACCAACATGTGTATAGTACAATTATTGTACTTTGTTGAAAGGCGGATTAGATGGCCGAATGGTTGGCATCTGTGCGCTGAAATCATAAGGTCTGTCATTGAGTCAACTGGCGTGGTTTCGATTCCCCGGTTGTACGTGACAAGAAGTAGGGTCGCCTATCCAACCTTGTCGTTTTTCTTCATTTCCTCCTACTGTTAAAGACCCTGACGCGCAAGCGATTTATTGAAATATAATTGAACCATATGTTAGTCCCAAAATGACCTAGTTTGTGTCAAGTGGAGGTTGAACCCTCGGTCTCTCTCTCTCTCTCTCTCACAGTTTGTTGAGATAAACAAATGTATAATAATGACATGTTTTGGGTGAGTGGGTTCTGCGATTGAGAAAACAGTTATAAAGTCAATTGATTTTGTGATGATTAACAATGTAAATTTATTCTTTCAGTATTCCCATCATAGGAATATAGCTACTTATTATGGTGCTTTTATTAAGAAGGGTCCGCCAGGAAAAGATGACCAACTCTGGGTAAGATATGATCAAATTTAGAAAGTTGTAATATAAAGGATTTACAATCAGTTGGTAATAAGACTATTGCATATGTATTAATTAAAGACATTGTTATGGTTGTGTATACTCATTTATATTTGATTACATGTGACTGTACATACTCATATTAAATTAGTCCTGTGTATATATACGTGTGCACGTAAAAGTTCTCCTGGCAGTTGTAATTCGATTAAAAGAATAGGCCATAGTTCAGCTACCGGGGCAAAATTTTCTCTTATTTAGCCCAGTTGGAGCAGAACAATAGGACGTTAAACTCATTTCATTTCTTTTTATATTTCATATTTCGATCTGTTTTAAATTTTTTAACCATAAACTGGTTTCATACACCTGGTGGTAATCATCTTGTTGTTGTTGTTGGAGCTCTACCAATTCAAGTACAATCGTCATAAAACTTGGCATGCTTGTACTTTGAACAATTTTGCATCGATTGACAGGTTTATGATATGTCACAATTCCAAGATGGTTGCATGGATGTGTCCTGGTTCATACAGTACTTGTATTTGTTCTTTTCTCGGGAAGCAATCAAAATCCTGTTGCATGATGCAGCGCTTTTTGGTTTGAGATTCAATACTATGTATTATTTAATTCTCAGAAATGAGGATTCTAGAGCTTCATCACATGATTGTTATATATTGTTAAAATGACTTTGAGTCATAATTTAATACTGTCTGAAGATTCTAACAGAAAGGTACTGAAATAAAAACTACATGTACTAGCAATCTGATTAAAATACAGATCTACATTTCGTTTCGTTTTTTTATACTTCCGATGGCCTCTACATGTACTATATGAAAATCTGGCCAGTTTTAGTGAAAGGTTGCGTCAGGTGTCATGCGAACAGCTTTTGACCCAATGACGTCAGACATTTGATGTTTCTAGTCGGTTACCCACAGTTCTGTGCACAGCATGCCAAGAACTCGCCGTAACATACCATTTCATTGGCTAATCCCTCACATCAAGCAGAACGCTTGTTGTATAACAACTCTTCCAGATCCTAGTGTTGTGAAAACATGTAAAACGAAATTTTGAACTATCAAAAAAGAAACGAAATAGGATCTGTGTTTTAATCAGATTGATGTACTATTAAATGAATGGTATTATTTATTTTAAATTTCACTTGTTTATTTCACTATGATAAAATAATTGATTTGATATATTTCAGTTGGTTATGGAGTTTTGTGGGGCAGGTTCTGTTACTGATTTGGTTAAAGGTATCTATTAATCTTAATAAAACAAATTAAACTTGTATGATTTTTATACACCTATAATGAAATGATTGCCTCATTGACGTTGACCCTGTCTCTTTGTTCATATGACATTCTGGAAACTCTAGAGGCAAACTTTACTATCAAAGACCCCTTACATGCAAGCACATTATTGAAATAAAATTGAACCATATGTTAGTCCTGAATGACATAGTTTATGTTGAGTGGCCGTTAAACTCATTTTTTCTCTCCTTTTTTTGAAGATTGTCGAGCGATGGAAGAATGAAAATTTATCTGGAAAAAAAAAAAATCTGTGTGAACTTATGATTTGAATTTTGTGCATCAACATTATTCAGCTATCTTGTTACTAGGACGTTAAACTCCATTTCATTTCATTTAATCCATTTCTATATTTATTTCTATAGCTACTAAAGGTAATTGTCTGAAAGAAGAATGGATATCTTATGTATGTAGAGAAATCTTAAGGGTAAGTTGTTTTTTATAATGCTTGCAGTGTCTTTGTGCTTTGTCTTGTATGCGGTGGGGTCACGGTATCTAAGTCGGTAAGACGGTGGCTCATTACCCTGGAGGTCGCGTGTTCGATTTCTGCATTGGCCGAGAAAGTTCATCCAGATTTTCCGGCGTGGTTCCCCCTTGTCAGTGATGCAGGACAGAGGGCTGACAAGCACAGCTGTCTAATCGTTCGGATGGGATAAAAAACTGAGTTCCCATGTACACATTGGTGTACACGTAAAAGATCCCTTGATAGTTGGAATTCGATATAAGAGAAGGCCGTAGTGACGCTGTCCAGGCAAAATTTCCCTCATAGCACACTGTATGGCGTTTTCCTATCTTCATTGGCCTAGTCAGAGCAGAACAGTACGATGTTAAGCTCCATTTGATTTCGTTTCTAGGGAACTATTTTGATTTGAAATATAATGATAGATATAATACATGTTATATATTACAGGGTTTAGCTCATCTACATGGTAATCGTGTTATACATAGAGATATCAAAGGACAGAATGTTTTATTAACAGATAATGCTGAAGTTAAATTAGGTACATTTTAATTATATCATCTGTACTTCTTTAAGGGGCATTAAGTAATTGAACAGTAACACACTAAAAACTATTTATGGAATAACAATTACTGGTTTATTAACATGCAACGTTTCGGCAATGAAACTCTCGTCTTTATTTGCTCGATAAAGACGAGAGTATCATCTTCGAAACTTTGCATGATAATAAACCAGTAATTGTTATGTCATAAATAGTGTTAGTTTGTTATATCATCTGTGTCATTATTTTGCTATTTTCACTAAGCGTCAAATTTCTGTCAAGCCATGGGTTTGTTTCCACGATTGTTTTACGAGGAAGTTGAAAATCTGCCAAAGTTGGTGGGTTTTTGTCTGGGTTCTCCACTTTCTTCCCATTGTTAAAGATCCCTGCATGCATGATAAAAATAATGAAATAAAGATATAACATTAAATCCAGAATAGTAAATGACCTAGTGGATATATCTGTCTCTGTAACTTTGTGAGTAGGTTTGTGGCTCACTAACTAGAAAGATCGGGGATCAATCCCATTGTTGGCCAAGGCAGTTCGTCAGGATTTTGCTGGGGGGTCTGACAAGGAAATAGCATCCAGTCGTTCAAATAAGATGATAAACCAAGATCCACCTGTGTACACATCGATATGGACCTGTGGTTCTCAACCTTTTATTTTGCCAACGGCACACTTTGGAACACATGAAAACATAGCGGCACACCTGGCCAAATATATATGAAGAATATTTGAAAATATTGAAAAATTAAAACATGGCAAGTCATAAACGGCATACAACCATAGACAGAGACTAGTCATAGAAACATAGAATGACTCAAACTAAATAAAGAAAAACACAGCTATGGACTTATCAGTAGGCATCATAGAATACTCAATTGGGATCACCTGGATTTTTGCATTTTCTTAGTGTGCCATTCAAAATGAAGAATATGCCACCGTCTGGGCAAAATTTCCCTCAAAGCACTGCATGGTATTTATCCATATTCATTAGTCCAGTTGGTGCAGTAAAGTTGGATATTAAACCCCATTTTATTTCTGTCTTTGTCTTCATGGTTGGATGGCCGAATGACAAGCACGTGCGTGCTTTATCATACGGTCTGTCATTGAATCAACTGGTGGGGTTTCGATTCCCCGGTTGTACGTGACAAAGAGTAGGGTCGCCTGTCCAACCTCATGGGTTTTCTCCGAGTCCTCCGGTTTCCTCCCACTGCAAAGGACTCCTACGCGCAAGCGAATTATTAAAATAAAATTGAACCATGCGTTAGTCCCGAAATGACCTAGTTTGCGTCGAGTGGACGTTAAACCCCATTTCTCTCTCTCTCTTTGTCTTCATGGTAACATAAATTTTGTTTTTATTTTCAGTTGATTTCGGCGTGAGTGCTCAGTTAGATAAAACTATTGGTAGAAGAAATACGTTTATTGGTACACCATATTGGATGGCACCAGAAGTGATAGCTTGTGATGAAAATCCTGATGCCACATACGATAATAGGGTTAGTACATGTGTCATGTCAGATTGGTTTGCTTATGCTAAAAAGTGGGGCCCAGACCAATCCCCCATAACTCAAGACATGTTTTGAATTTCTTAATTCTTACGTATTGGTTAGTGAATATAATCATTATAACCCTTATAACTAAACTTTGATTGAAAACAATTGATTAAAGTTAGACATGAGTCGATATGGGATACATTGGGAAAAATGACTAATTATCAGCAAATACTGATGTGCACCAATAATACAAATATCGGTTGATATAGGTAAAATGTCATATCGCTAAAAATACAGACTTTTCGTAGTCATGAGTTTTTACTCCCAGCTTATCTTAGTAATAAATGAATTGCTATATTAAAAGACTTTGATTTTTAAAGATGGTTTAAACCTTGCATGTTTGTTTATTGCAGAGTGATTTATGGTCGTTGGGAATAACTGCAATAGAAATGGCTGAAGGAAAGCCACGTAAGTCGTTTCTTTTCTTTTAAAGGGGCATTATGGGAGATTAGATATAGAGTTGACAGTTCTCGCTATAATAGTTAACGTAAAGAGAATATGCTGAAAATTTCAGTCAATTGAGATATTAGCTATTCAATTTAGGCCTAGCCTCGATCATCATTACCAAAGTCGTACCGGTATGATTATCCATTTAGACGTTAAATAATCAATCATAAAATGTATTCAAAATAACGCAGCCTGATGATGACATCGAGAGCTGATTATGGTCTTGATAAGTTAATTAATGTCTAATTAATATTTTAGATAACATTTAAGGCCTAAAGAAAGACCTGCATTAGGCAGATTTAGCTCTAGCATAATTTATATTTAATTTGAAAGTGAACAGTGGGAAAATAAGGCATTTCCCTCCTTTTACTGCAGATTTAAGATTTATACAAATGGTCAACTAGTAAACATTTAACTTGGATCAAGATCCCGAAATTCATCCAAACAAAATTTTTTATTTTAGATGTCATTAGCTTATAAGTAAAGAGGGGTGGGGGTGTGAGGAACGCACTGGTCTCTTGACTAGAATGTCCCAATTGAATTCCTCATTCGTATTGCTCATGTAACTATTGAAACGAAAATTATCATGTATTGTCCCTTCTTTATTAGCTCAGTCGGAGCACGAAAATAGGGTGCTAAGCCCCATTTTATTTAATGTCGTTTCATCATGTTTCAAAATGACCGAAGTATAACAAGACTTTAAACTCCATTCCATTCCTGTAAATAAAACAATAAAATTTTCTGTGTTATAATTTTTCAGCTCTCTGTGATATGCACCCTATGAGGGCTTTATTTCTTATACCCAGAAATCCTCCTCCTAGACTGAAAAATCCCACCAAATGGTTAGTTTTATATAATTTAAACTGCTTTGAATTTCTAGACAAATACACAACTGCTGAAATTTTAACGGCTTTTTTTTTTTTTTTTTTTTTTTTGACTATTAGCAGATGGGAAATTTAAATTGAGTTCAAACATTAAGAGTTTATGACATTATCAGATTACAGGGAGGTAACTCCATTAAACAACATGCATAATTTCTTCTTTAAATTACTGTAGATATTTTGAATATATCCATACATAGTTAAATGTAACGATTAATTTAATTGAATAATAAACAGAAGTTTTAGAACTATATACTAAGTAAGGATTAAATTTTTGTCAATTTCACCCTTTTCAGGTCGAGTAAATTTCACAATTTTGTAGAATCTTGCCTAATTAAAGATTACACCCAGCGCCATAACACAGAACAACTCCTGAAACACCCTTTTATACGTGATCAACCTACAGAACGTCAAGTTCGAATACAGCTCAAAGATCATATTGATCGACATAAGAAAAATAAGAAGAGTAAGTTATTTTTGTATACAGTCACCCCTATATTGTCATCTCTCCTATCTAGAATATGATTAGGTAATTTTATTTTTGATATCTGAATGAGAACGGAGAACAGGCCCCCTTTTATATTGACAATAAAAAATACTGTGTTAGACAGGACTGGATTTTATATATTATTTCAGAATTGTGTTCTATGTATGATTTCAGAAAACAGAATTTCTGGTGTTTAATATTTATAATGTATATTTTGTAGTTGATGATCATGATACAGAATATGAGTACGAGGGAAGTGATAATGATGAAGATGAAGAAAATACGATGCCAGGGGAACCAAGGTTTGATATTTTAATAGAGAGAGAGGGAGAGAAGTAGGATTTAACATTCACTCGACACAAACTTGGTCATTTCGGGACTAACATATGGTCAAATTTTATTTCAATTATTCGTTTGTGCGTAGGGGTCTTTAGCATTCGGAGGACCCAGAGAAAACCAACGACAAGGTTGGATAGGCGACCCTACTGCTTGTCACATAGATATTTTAATAAAATCCATTACCTTAATTAACATGAGTACATATCCTGGGGGGGATCACGTGGCTAAGTGGGTAAGACGCTAGCTCGCTAGCCTGGAGGTCGGGTGTTTGATCCCTGCATTGGCCGAGAAAGTTCATCCAGATTTTCCGGCGTGGTTCTCCCTTGTCAGTGATGCAGGACGGAGGGCCTGACAAGGAAAGCTGTCTAGTCGTTCGGATGGGACGAAAAACCGAGGTCCCGTGTACACATTGGCGTGCACGTAAAAGATCCCTTGGCAGTTGGAATTCGATATAAGAGTAGGCCGTAGTGCCGCTGTCCGGGCAAAATTTCCCTCATAGCACACTGTATGGCGTATGCCCGTCTTCATTAGCCCAGGTTAGGAGCAGAACAGTAGGACGTTAAACTCCATTTCATTTCATTTCACATATCCTGGAAAATTATTTATTCATACAAAATGAATTAATTATTTTAATCTCAGATTTCTTCAGGAAAATTATATAGTCTTTCATTTGAATTAGTGGATTAGGTGGTCTAATATATGTGCTTTAAACCATAAGTTCTGTTATTGAGTGAGTGGCGTGGTTTCAATCTGAAGCTTGTGCATTACAAGAAATAGGGTCACCTGCTCAACCTCATAGGTTCACCGGGTCCTCAGGTTTAAAGCGTGTGCATAAAATCACAAGGTCTGTCATTGAGTCAAGTGGCTTGGTTTTGACTCCCCGCTTGTATGGGATAAGGAGTAGGGTTGCTTGTCCAACCTTGTGGGTTTTATCTGGTTTTCTCTCACTTTAAAAACACCTATTGAACCGTATGTTAGCCCATAAATGACCTAGTTTGTGTTGAGTGGAAGATAAACCCCATTTCTCACTCTCTCCTCAGATTTTTTCACACTGCTTAAGATCCCTACGCACAGTTGAATTATTGAAATGACCTAGCCTGTGTCGAGTGAACATTAAGCACCATTACTCTCTCTATGTGTCATTTGACTTATCTCGTAGCATAAGAAAGTTGCTAATCTGAATGTTATGAATATTGATATTTTATGATTGACAAAGAAACTTACAGGAATTTAATTTTCGTTGTTCTTCATTCAATACAGATACACAACCTTATTTCATTTAAATATTGTTTGTTTTCAGTTCCATATTACAAATTCCTGGAGAATCAACACTTAAACGAAACTTTCAACAGATTCAAGAAAGAGAAGGAAGAAGAAATCAACAAGCTCGTAATCGTCCTCATTCACATCATCAAAATCAACAACACCCACAACAACAACAACATGCACAGCAACAACGACCCCCATCTAGTCACTTTCAACAACCCCCTCCTAGCCACAATATGCCAAAACAATTCCCCATGCAGTCGAGACTTATAGGTCAGTCAACTTATTTTTTCTTCAACATGAATTTCAACATTCTTCTTAAAATAGTAATTGTAATTTTAGAATCCAGACCGATGCAAATTATTTTAGCAGGACTCTTAAAGTCCCATAGGTTTTATTTAACTCAAATTTGGCTGCAATTACAAGACAAGATATATAATATTCTTAGGAACCTAAATATTTAGCATATTTGCTATGCACAATTTACTACTATTGAAAGATTTATGAAGAAAAGAAATTAAGATATGATATTGGTAATGCATCATATATAATATTACATGATTTATACTAACAATAGTTATGTTATATAACTTAGTTTAATACATACAGCTAGATTTAGATACAAGGAATTTAAAATACTGTGGAAATTACAAACTTTTATCAGAAATGTTGATATTTGGTAGAAAAAGACAAACTCACTGCCTTTTTATGATAATATCTTCGTGCTATTGAAACAGTGTTATTAGATAATTTCTTTGTGAAAACCATTCAGGTTATAGAACTCCCCCAGCGTTATTTCAGAGTATGATGGACAAACAGTGCAGATAGTGATTTCGTATGAAAAATGTTAACCAATTTTGAAATACAGTATTTTTCTTTAGCTTAAATTTTATCTGTGAAAATTTATTTGATTCTTTGGTATATATTCTGATAAATATGTAATAGTGATACTATTTGATAAAAGTTTGTATTTCTGGAAGTATTTGTAATTTCTACTGATAGTAAAGTAGTTGTTCTTTTAAAGGAGACACTCACTAAATTAATCATTGCAAATCACAAGATTTTGTTATATTCGATTTGACTAATGATTATAATGTTCAGTTGTGCATTTCAAATCTGATTGCATGTAAACAAATATGATAATCTATCTCTGAGATATACATTAGTCCAGCAAAGACTAATGTTTCCTTCATGATCATATGGCCACAGATCAAAGAGTTAACAAACAATTGAGCAAAACATTTTGCAAGAAACACAATAGATCATTGCTTGAATATTTGTTTATTATATTAAGTAAAATTAAGTCTTGTTTAAAGCGATAATGCCTGCTGTAGCTGTTCATCTGTTTGTATAATTCTGGCCGTTTTATCATTGATGTAGTTTGTTTTAAAAAAAAAAAAATGCCCAAGAATGTAAAATTGCTTTATTTAGATGGCTAATATTAGTATATGTTAATGAAATTGCAGTAAATTATCTGTTTTTAAACAAAACATAGATTTCAAAACTATTTTAGTTACATGTAGATTGCTAATTTTAGTTTATATGTATATTAATGCAATTGCATTAAATTAGATAGCTACTTGTAATAATATTTAATTATGTTCTCTTTAGTTTATAAAACTAACAAAATGTTTCCTTTATCCTAATCTTTCCATAACCTACTTTTAACATCACCTACCTGTGCACCCGCTTGGAACCTCTCTTCTAAATGGTATTGGAAATCTACCTACTGCCTGATACTTTATCAACCTATGTTTGTGTGTCTTGTTTTCCTCGTCTTGGGGGATCTTCTCGGTCAACGTATATAGTTCTTCCAGATGCTAAGAATCCCAGTGCCGGAGCTGTCCATGCCAGTGCAGTTCATTCCGACAAGCCATCTGGAATGTTTGGAGGAGGCCATGCTCAAAAGGCAGAGGTAAGATTAGGGCATTTTTGCTCTTTATAATCAAACATATCTTGTCATCCCATCGTGCGTGCAGGGCTGCCGACAACCAGTATCGCAGCGCAATTTGCGATACATATTTCGTCCGTTGCTAACCAATAATTAAAATCTGACGTTTTTGATTCGTAGTTACTGCGAATCATTAATGTGCCTGTCATTTTGGATATTGTCACAAGAATAATCCACATTTTGAAGACTAGAAGGCTTACTCAACACTTTCAACGTGTATAAAATGTTGAATAAAATTTTATAAACAAAACTGAATTCTCTGTGTGACATTTTCTTCTCGAACTACCCAGACACAATACTATATAACACAGGGACATAACTCTATGAATAGGGACTATTAAACCGGAAATAGGGAATCAAGTAGTCGCACTCACGTTGCGAGACATCAAGTAATTATATCATATTCATTTTGAAATAAATAACTCCAGTGTATCGCACGTATTGTAAATAAAATATAAAAAATAAATACATGTTAACGTATTGTAAAATGATAAATCAAAGTAAAAATTCCCGTAAAATATTATTGTTTATATCGCGTGTGTCTAGTTAATCGAGGTGCGCCCGATTGAACAAAAATAGTAATACACGATAAAAAGCAGACGAGATCGTTTTCTAACGAAGATTTCTAACGTAACAAAAAAATAACAATTAAAATGAGTGGGGCTTCGGAAGTCACTGTCAAGAATTGGCTTCAGACATAAGACCTAACTAAATGTCTACATCACATTTATAAACTGTCACAAGTACTTGTGGCAGTGCTAAAAAAATCTAAGAATAGTCAGAATGGAATCTAATCATATTTGTTATGAATTAAAGTAATATCTAGGTATTTACATTAAAACTGAAAAACTGCTAATCAATTTTTAAATTTGCTAATCAAATTTGGCAAAATTGGACTTTTTGATTAGCAGTGCTGCTAATCAACTGTGAAAAATTACCGACAGCCCTGCGTGCGTGTTAGTTTTTGATGAAATTTCTTCTACTGAAATGTTTGCAAAATTTGGCATTCTCTGCATACACAATATTTGATTGAAAATGACGATCAGGAGCTTAAAACTGACACGTACAGCCTAATAAAGAAAAAACAAAGTAAAATGGGACAATAATCACTGGGTTATTATACACAGTTTACTAAATGTCGGGGTTGGTTGAGGGGGGAATGGTGTGCGCTTTGCATCATGAGGTCTATCACTGTCGTTGAGTGAAGTGGCATTTTTTCGATTGTACGTGACAAGGAATAGGGTCTTCTCTGAAGGTCCTCCAGTTTCCTCCCACTGCAAACCAATTATTGAAATAAAATTAAAACCATGTTAGTCCCGAACACCTCATTATAACAAAGAAAATATTGTATATTATATAGATACCAATAAATCTTGTTTTCATATTATAACTAGGATCTAGAACAATTGGCTGCTCATCTAAGAAAGATGGGAGCTGAAGAAAGACAAGCTAGAACTGTGTATGTGGAAGATGAGGATGATGATGATGATGAAGAAGATGATGATCTGATCAACAGAGATGGTACTTTACCAGCCTCGGAACCACCACGTCCATTGTAAGTTTATCTTATTTTATAAAACTTCAAAATAGAAAACCTGGTCAGGTTTCACAGATTAGTGAACTATCTGCAAATCTGTGTATTTTATTCCCAAATCCGAATAATTATTGACCAATATAAACAGTAGAAATTTACATTATGTAACTGTGGGTCCTACTCAGCAAAAATAAAATTGACCTGTATAAAAATTGTAACTTTATGATTAAAATTGATTGAAATTAAAACTATATTTGACAGAAATATGGAGCAATTTGGTGGTAGGGAATCGTAAGTATAGAGCCATCCAGCTCTGATGTCTTTCTGTTTGTTGTGAATTCAAGAGCACCTTTAAAACCCCATTAGAATTCTTTCATATAGACTTTACACGTTTTCTTTACTGTTATACGTTTTGTGTTATCATACTTTCATGTAGGTTCTCAATAATCCAATATCAAAAACTCCTGGTGTTGTTCTTTCATCATAGGATGTCTTGTCATGTTCGGCTTGGCTTTAGGGGGATCACGTGGCTAAGTGGGTAAGACACTAGCTCGCTAGCCTGGAGGTCGGGTGTTCGATCCCTGCATTGGCCGAGAAAGTTCATCCAGATTTTCCGGCGTGGTTCTCCCTTGTCAGTGATGCAGGACGGAGGGGCTGACAAGGAAAGCTGTCTAGTCGTTCGGATGGGACGATAAACCGAGGTCACGTGTACACATTGGCGTGCACGTAAAAGATCCCTTGGCAGTTGGAATTCGATATAAGAGTAGGCCGTAGTGCCGCTGTCTGGGCAAAATTTCCCCCATAGCACACTGTATGGCGTATGCCCGTCTTCATTAGCCCAGGTTAGGAGCAGAACAGTAGGACGTTAAACTCCATTTCATTTCATTTCATTTCATTTGCTTAGCTTCAGCAGCTAAAAAATAAGTTATGGATTTAATAATTATCTAATAATCGTGCTAAGTATGACTGCAATTCATCAATATTTCATATCTCCCATATATTCCATTTAATATAATATGTATATGACATAATGTACATTCTACTTCATTCACAATTATTTTACATTTCCCAAATATTCCATTTATATTACATATATGGTGTGATATACTTTCTACTACATTCATAAACATTTCCCAAATATTCCATTTATATTAATACATTGTAGTTGACATATATGGTGTATATTACTGTATACATTCTACTACATTCATAAAAATTTCAGGAGGTTGGGTGGTCTAGTGTGCGTGTGATATCACAAGATCTGTCATTGAGTCAGCGGAATGATTTTGATTCCTCGCTTGAACATGACAAGGCGTAGTGTTGCCCCAGGCGACTTGCCTGTCCAAACTCATCGAGAATTATTGAAATAAAATTTAACCATGTGTTAGTCCCAAAATAACCTAGTTTGTGTCGATTGGATGTTAAACATTATTTCTCTCCGCTCACATCGGTAGTGAAATTTCCATAAATTCCAAATAGTTTAATATTTGATTAGAAATAGTTTTCCGGACCTTTCTGAAGAAACTTTTTAATCTTGTTAAAGATTCCTTGGAAAATAAACTGAAAACCAGGTGGTAAAATTTCCATAAATTTCAAACAGTTGAGTATTTTATAGGAAATAATTATGACTTAAACATTCTTCAGTTTAAACAATATTTTATTCAATATAATTACATATGATCATGCAATTGTACAGTCTAAAGGATACGAAAGAAAGCATTCTTTGAGAAGTTCGCCATTACTGTCATCTAAAACATTGTCTATCAATAGTTATATTGTATTCTCACTCTTGTTGATATATTAACATTCTCTTTGATGTATTCACTAACGTTTTACTGATATAAACAAAATTAAAATTAGGTATATTAAATTGTTACAATAGTAGCATTTAGTAATTGAACTGGAATATACAGTTCACGTCGCTTAGTAATAAGCAGTAATTGTATTTCATAGAATTGTGACTTGTATATGGAATGTTAAATTAGGTATATTAAATTGTTTCAATAGCATTTAGTGATTGAACTGGAAATAAACAGGTTACAATTATCACTGTAATCCGAGTATCATTTAATCTTGTGTATTCAACACTAATTTCTTTCACATTCATTTAATATAAAGTCTCTTGTTTAAAAACCATTTAAAATCACCCAATATCATCTAATTTGTACTTGTGTCCAGTTTAAAGCTGTTTGATAATGAGTGTCCAGTTTACAAGTGTTTAATTTCTCGATCACTGTTCAAAAATTAATCATTATCAATTGGGTTGTTTATTTTTGAACAGTGATCAAGAAACACTTGTAAATTGGACACTCATTATCAAAATTAATCAGTCAGCTTTAAACTGGACACAAGTACAAATTAGATGAATTTTTGTTGATTTTAAATGATTTTTACGGATTTTTGAACAAGGATTTCATATTGAATGAATGTGAAAGAAATTAGTGTTACATACACAAAATTAAATGATATCCAGGTCGCAATTATGATTGGTTGATAAAGACTTGATAAACCTGTCAAAACATCCACACAGTAATTGTATTCCATAGAATCGTGACTTGTGTTTAAAATTATATCATTTCCATTCTGTTCATCATACTTGTGTGTTGGTGCATGCGGTTAGTTGGACTCTGCACCAATTGACTTGAAGTAACCGAAAAGAAAATTTGAATTTGGGGAGAGGGTGGGTTGGATATAGAGAAGAAGATTTATATAAACAAACAAACAAATATTCTAAAAACAATTGGCTTATTTATTTAAATTTTTTGTTAATGGCTGAATAAAGAAAAGAAGACATTATAAAGGGAAAAGATGAAATGAAATAGTTGATATTATGTATTTTTTTTCCAGGCCAGTCAGTTTTAATCAAGATACTCTAGAAACACTTTCATCAATGGTTATACATGAAGGTAATACAGGTTTATTATTACAGAAAAAGCAGGGGGGGGGGGGGGCGCATTGAGTTAAAAGGTCTGTCATCGAGTCGAGTGGTGTGGTAGCACCACTGTCCGGGCAGAAATTTTCTCATAGCACACTGTATGGCATATGCCCATCTTCATTATCCCAGTCAGAGCAGAACAGTAGGACGTTAAACCCCATTCCATTTCATATGAGATTTCTATGTTAAAGTGTAGTGAAAATTAGTGAGCATCAAAAATGCAAAAAGCACACAATTTGGCTACTTCCAAAAATTAGGATAAAATCAACCTTCTAGATGCCATTTTCGACTATTTTAAGTTTCAGACCCAATAAGCCCTATCTCATTGTCAGTTTTAAAATTGTTCACCGATAAAAAAGTTGAAATGTGGTCATATATGTATGCTCATCTGTTTTCCTAGTTATTTCTTGATTTGAGTTCGACCCCTGCATTGGCCGAGAAAGTTCATCCAGGTTTTCCGGCATGGTTCCCCCTTGTCAGTGATGCAGGACAGTGGACCTGACATGGACAACTGTCTAGTCGTTTGGATGGGACGAAAAACCAAGGTCCCGTGTACACATTTGCGTGCACGTAAAAAAATCCCTTGACAATTGGAATTCGATATAAGAGTAGGACGTAGTGCGCTGTCCGGGCAAAATTTCCCTCATAGCACACTGTATGGTGTATGCCCGTCTTCTTTAGCCTAGTTCATTTCATTTCTTGATTTGAGAGGAAAAATGATATCCTTTGAATAATTTTACATACTTTGTTCTATGGCATTTTGTCAAAAAATGATTCAGTGAATAAATACACACGAAGTATTTTGGGCAAGTGTTTACAGTATTAAGAATGTCCTTTTCTCTTACAGAAATGCCTAACACCCAAGTGCCAATTGGTTTTAACCTTTCAAAAGTTACTGAAGAGGATGGTGAAAATACTCTTAAAGCTCCAAGAAAGGTAGGACAGAGTTACTTCCCTTATATCACCAGACATACAAGCATACATCACATTAACAATACAAATATATGGCTTTTAATATGGGCAATATGGCAATTTTCTGATGTGCCAATATTAAAGGAGGTTATGAGAATGCAGTAGAGATAGAAAACATTGCTGTATTTAGGGCCCCATTTTTTTTTATGCAGCGCAAATTAACTAAAAGAAAACCTAAAATTACAACTGTGGAATGATACCTGTTTTGCAAAACAAATCAACACATCTGATTAAATTGAAATATTGTCCACCTCTATATCCTAGCATGCAACGATTCTACATCTGGTTCTGTGTAAGAATTACACGAAGGTCTCTATTCTAAATTGTAATATATAGCATACCAGATTTTGGAGCCATATTTCATTTGTCCTGTTATAAATAAATACTCTTTAACTTGTGTGAGATGTAAAATCAAAATATATTTAGAAAGGGATCTAAGTTAGAATACTTGTTGTTTATTACAGTTTAGAAAAGAGTCTACAGCACAGAACAATACATATTATACTTTTGATTACACCATGACAATAAAACAAACAAATATTACATAAAATTTTACAGAAACGTGCAATTTCATTAACATTCAATCAAATTACAACGGATGTGCACACCAAGGACTATTTGTCTGTGATTGTCAGTTACCAATGAATAACCAATGATCTTATAGATTATACAGCTTGACAGATTCATCGCAGATATGCGTTTATGGCGGGATATCGTTTTGTTTTGTTTTTTGTGCAATAGATTGTCTGTAATAAGAAATCAGACTGTCATTGACAAATAGTAGTTGGGTGTGCACAGACCTTTAGACATGCATTTAAACTTTTTGTTACAAATATTGCATAATATATAAAAAAGAAACATGTATCATTGTCACCCTACATATAACATGCCAACTACCATCATAGTTTTTTTTTTCAGTGTCGAATTCCCTATACCAACAGATACCTCAAACATTATTTATTTCTTGTATTTTATTTACTTTAAAACATAATATATGCAAATCCCAATAAATTTTGAATACTTGATATCATGAAAAGTCATGATTAAACTATAATTCTGTTCTACATAAATACCCTCTCCATCTGCATCAGCTTTTGGGTCTGGCAGTTACTCAGATCTACCAGCTTGTCGAGCCTCTGCTACTCATTTATGGGAGCATTGCAGATCCACTCCACCGTTTGTAATTTGTTATTGGCCTAAGAAGCTTAATTTTAGTTTAGAGAAATGACTTTGGTCACACTTTGAATGAAAATTTTATTTTAGAGATATTTATTGTTTGTATTTCGGAAACTAACAATGTCCAGACAGTTAGACTCCCTCTTTGATTACTGAAGATGTGAGGTCATACAAGGTCACTGACTACGACCAAAAGTGCTTGTTGATCAGGATGTTGAAGTTTTAGATTCTATACGATTGAGAAAAATCGTCATATTTTTTTACATTCAAAGAAATCTACAATCAATTATGGATAGGAAATGGTAAAATGTATTAAAGAATTATGAAAGCTTGTGGTAAAATGTCCTGATTCCAACCAGCTGACTTTATTTATTTAACTTATCGTAAAGACGGATCAGATTCGCTTGGCGTCTGTAGAATAAGGGGGGACCACAGTGTTAATAAACAAAGCAATAATTTGGTTATTATAAATGGTCACTACTCTAAACTATAACACCCAGCCAATGTTTAATTTTAATTTATTTTGGGGAGCATCGAGTCCCACATATTAAAGTCTTTTCTTTGAACTGTCCTTTTAGTTAGATTTGTTTACAATTGGTTTGGGGTGTGGCGATAATTACATTGAAGTACTGAATAATGGCTTATTTCAGAAGATTATATTTATTTGAAAATCAGTTTTGATTCATTTGTGAGAACAGCTATCAAAATCTTAAATTATTCAATAAAATGTCACAAAATTTAAGAAATCCACATGTATCTGATTCTAGCTGTTTTGGACACTGGTAGACCCCAAACTTTTTAAAAAAAATTTGTCTGTTAATTCTATTTTTTAAGGTTTGGAAAGTGTTTGTATTGCTAGAATCAAAGTATTTTTAAGATGTTCTCATACATCTACAATACATTCAGATCTCAAAATCTTAAAATTCATACAATTCTGTCGTAGAGACAATCTCAAAAGATAATAAATAGCAAATGAAATGCAGTTTAACGTCCTGCTGTTCTGCTCCGAACTAGGCTAATGAGGATGGGCATATGCCATACAGTGTATGTGCTGAGAGATCTTTTACATGCAGGCCAATGTGTACACGGAACCTCGTTTTTTTTGTCCCATCCGAACGACTAGACAGCTGTCCTTGTCAGACCCTCTGTCCTGCATCACTGACAAGGGGAAATCACGCTGGAAAATCTGGATGAACTTTCTTGGCCAATGCAGGCATTGAACACCTAACCTCCAGGCCAGCGAGCCAGCGTCTTAACCCACTTAGCCATCGTGACCCCAGTAATAATAAATAGCACCTAGACAAAACTACTATTGAAAAATTGGTGTGGTTAATGAATCATTTCCTTGATATAGTCAAATATGTAACCATATTTCTAAAGGAAACAACAAATTATATAGAAATACGATGAAGGAAGAAACTCTTGATGTTTATTTTCTCAATACTCCTATTTCCTTACTACAGGAGAACATGGATGTAATTTCTATTTTAACTACTTGGATATCTTGTTGACCTTCAACCTTATTACAACTACCAATGAAATGATACTAACAGCCATGTTTATTTAAGTTTTTTTGTTTTTAATAGAAGACCAAATGGTTTTCTTTAAAGCTGGAACATCATGTTGTTGAGTTGACAGAAAAAAAATATCCCTGTTATTAGATTACAAAACAATTACATCTCTCTCCATATTGTTTTGTTTGGGTTTAAAGTCTACTAAGTACAGTATAACCTGCAATCTGTATTAAAGAAAAATTTAACATGTTTGTTTATGCATCCCTTTCAAAAGTTAGTATGGCTTTGCTTACTAACTGGGGAGTTGGATGGCCGAATGGTTAGCATGTGCGCGCTATATCATTTTAAGGTTTGTCATTCAGTCAACTGGAGTGGTTTCGATTCCCCGGTTGTACTTGACAAGGAGTAGGGTCGCCTATCCAACATTGTAGGTTTTCTCTGGGTTTTCCAGTTTCCTCCCACTGCTCAAGACCCCTACGTGCAAGCGAATTATTGAAATAAATTTGAACCATGTGTTAGTCCCGAAATGACCTAGTTGTGTCGAGTGGCCGTTAAACCCCATCTCTCTCTCTCTTGCTCACTAACCAGGCTTGTTTCCCGTTGTCAGTGTGGCAGGTTGGAGGTCCTAGTCAGAGAAAGAGTCTAGTCTGTTGGATGAGATGGAAAAACAGGATCTCATGTGTACCATTCTCAGCATGTTAAAAATTCTCAGAGAGTTAGGAATCTAAATAGAAATGTAGGCTTCAACACTGATGTCTGGGTAAAATTTCCCTCGTAGTACACAGCATAGCGTATGCCTGTTTTCATTTGCCTATTTGGTGCAGTAAATTAGGAAGTTTAAAAACCCATTTCATTTGATTTTGCATATAATAGATCTTTGTCACTTGGAAAACATTTCTTCAAATAGATAAGATAAAGTGAATTAAAGTGACTCATATCTTCTTAGTACTACATATTTAAGATTTAACATGTTTCAATTCAATAAGCAGGAAATTTAATTAAAAATGACAATAATTTTGACATCTCAATACTAAGATGAAGTAGCAGGAAAATTTTGAAGATGTAATTCAGCACCCTTCATCTAATCTAAGTTCTAATCATATTCTGAGCGTTAATAATCGTTTGGAGTCTGGTATTCTTAAACCTAATTTCCAAATCCAATCTAAAATTTGCTTTAGAGTCTGTAAGAAGATACAAAATTGTTAAGAGTAATATTGCAATTGATAAATATTTCTCAAGTCTAAGTAAATACCGTACATTAAGTGAATAGCTTGGATTCTTTTGGTGTTGTACTAAGTGACCATGTGGACCACACTTCACTTGTACTTATGTAGATATATATGTAGATATAATCTATACTAATACCAATGATCAATAATAGTTATTTTTATGTTCACACTTTATAACTAAATCACCCATCACAGACACCTTGGCTAATATTTATTATTTAGGCCATGGGAAATTTATTCTTTGCTTCCTCGAAAAAGGTCACTGAAATGATAATGTACATTGTACAAGTATGTTATTGTGTGCAGTTCGTGCATGATTGAAATGTATTTTTCTCTTCTTCTTTTTTAAAGTTCAGTGATTATTTCGGCTACTGGTTAAAAACTGTAAATAAAGGCGTATATTTCAAAAGATTTTGAAGTCGACGATATTGCATTTTATAAGATGGGGGATTTTACAGGAAAATATTTCTGTACTAGTCTAAAAAAAATTAAAATCATATAAGCATAATAGGTTTGAAAATTTAAATACACTCACCTGGAAGTAGACAAACGTTCAGAGCAGAAAATTAATTTACAGCTGCCTGATACAGACATGGAAAGTGGATTTAATTAACAGGGTATGTGGCTAATAAACTTATCGGATGAACATATACCACCTTTAGTAGAGATAGAGATAGAAGACTAATTAATCAGCAGATTAGTTTTACTTATTTCCTCTTACATGTATCAATCAAATCTGGGATTAATGAAATACATGTTCATGTACATGTACATAAATAGGCTACAAATCTTGTATATTGATGGGTAGGTGGAAAGGTTGTCTGTTCCGTGATCTTCTGTCTTGACTGTGGACCAAGTTCAAGGTTTAGGGTTAGTTGGAGCAAGTCTCTTAAATGGCTTTGAAAGGCAGACAGCGTTTGACAAGAACTGTTATTGATATAAAATCAGTATATTTTAAGACTTTTACCAGAACCTATTATTAAAACATGTCAGAAATGTCTGAAGAAAACATAATAATACAATTATGCAAATTGTCTTTCAGTTA